AATCTGGATCAAGCCAGGGTCCTTCTCAGTACTCACGCTAACTAGCATGATTTCATTCATTAAGGGCTTAGCACGCCTCTCTTTCTCTCAATTGATCAAAATTTTGCAAAACCCGAGGAATTCCTTCCTCTTCGTTTTCAACGCAGTGTTAGAAAAAGTTTTGAAAAGCTCAAGTCAATGCAATGATTTTGGGGTGTAGAAGAGTAGGCGAAAAGTACTGCCGTTTCACTCAAACTTTCTGGCACGACTGGCGCAAGGCAGAAGCAAACACAAGAGTGTGAAAATCACTGCTGTTTCATTCAAATCTTTTGGTGTAACTGGCTCCAAGGCAGAAACAGACTCAAAAGAAAGCAAAAAGACAAACACAAAACAAAATGGCGATGCCCGAGGTAACACCCCCCGGAATCACCTGACTCCTACAAAACAGGACTGACTCGATACAATAAGACAGACCTGACTGACTCAGTATGAAAGGACTGACTCAAAACAAAGAGACAGACTCAAAACAACACAACAAGACTGACCCAATACCCAAGTCAGGATGTACAAAACTAGCATTCACAAATGCTCAAAACAGTGCATGTCATCCACCATATCTGGAGTAAACTGAGCGCTGCCCGCAAGTGGTTCATCCCTCGATCACATCACATTATCCCCTACAAGTTCACTGATCAAGTGCCGATAGACTTTGCAGGACCTGGTGCAGGGATGACCCCATTGTCGATCAGATCTTGTATTTCGTGGCAGAGACAAAAGCACATGTCAGTGTCATGGCCGGCTCGCTGATGGAAGGCACAGTAGTCGGCTGGGTTGTGCGAGAGAGGGAGGTTCTTTGGTAATGGCTGCGGCTCCAGGGGCTTCAGATGCCCTTTCTTGATCAAAACCCCTAGAGCCTTTGACAAAGGCATATAAAGTGGGGTGAAAACCTTCTTGGCTTGGGGTGGATGTTTGGCTGCTTGCGAGCTACTTCCGGACGCACCGGTGGATGGGGTAGCTGTTTTTGATACGGTGGTAGCCACCATGTCCACATCAGAAGATCTTGCAGCTGCATCACCACTGGTGGTCATATTCGAACTGCGGGAAAACGCCCTCCTGGGCTGCTCCTTCTCCTGGTCAAAAAGGCCCTGCTTCATAGCGTCCTCG